CGACTTCTTCTTCGTCATACTTTGGTGTCGGCGCGTAAACGACGAAGATTGTCAAAGTCGGTATTGATCCACAACGTTTTAATCGTAAACGTGGGATTCGGGTTGTAAGTTGTTCGAATGAATCGATGTTCATGGACAAACTCGTGTTAACGAGAACGCCGACGCCGCTGACTCCTCTACTGTCGCATGTTCTGAGGAACAGTTCTTCTCCGGTGTCATAGACGGCGTTGAATGGCCGGCGTTTGCTCGTCTGGGCCAGGCCGATGACGTAGCTTATCCTTCTTGCTTGCATGAATAAGTCCTCTATCGAGGACTCGGATGCAACTGCACGTGCATTGTAGGCACAGACCATCACCATAGTTCTTTGAAAACCAGGTAGCTTCCATTGGGCCTGAGATTTTAGCAGCCTCTCCGTAGTCGTCATACCCAAGGCTGCGAAAATGGGGCTCTTTCGGGGTAAGAGTAGTGAGGCCCGGTTCTTTTACTGTTTTTAGCATTTTTGGTACCCACGTATAGCTTGCTGAGCTCTGAATGTGGTGGCTAGGTATACTCACGGATAGTTTGCCAGTCCCCCAGACTGGACATGGAGCTTATTTGTTGAAGGCGACTCCTAACCGCCTTCCATATATTTTTCTGGGGCTTGATTGCAGGCTTTTGGCCGAATTGACTTGTAGAATACACTCCATATAGGCGACAATACAGCCACGCACCCATGCATAAATACGTTGTCGTATATACAGGAAGTATGTCCCAAATCAGCAAAACAGAGACTCCAACTCTTGGATTCAACTGCTTCTCAGGCAGCCAAAGGTCGTTTTTGGTCCGCGATTGATCCCCTTCCACCACCTGGGAACGCTCCACGTCACATCGCAACTTGCAGGCATAGGATCCCTCAATGAGTGAGATCCGTAGTACCCTCTATATACACGTATATGGCAGTCTGCATATCATGTAGTACATCACCACATATCTGCATGCAGCGGATTACACCCTGTACAATGATTCGGAGACAAGCTTACAACAAAACGACAAGAAATTACACAGGAGGATGTTCCAAGCAATCATTTCACTATTCCGAGATGCACGACTGCCTAGTCTATGCAATCCACTTTTTAACTGAAGAACAGAGCTCTAAAACCACCACCAACCCGAGGGTTACTTTTTGTTAATTTGAATTAGCAGTGCGCACTGAAAATCGTGGATGCGACAGCGACAAATTGATGTTTCTCAGCTGCTTCGAAAAATGCTCAGCGACTCACTGGAATATAGGTGACATAGTTTAAATACAATTTGGATTAAGATAACTGTCATCGATTATGAAGTATGGCTGGTGTAATAACGTGATCATTTGTTGGTCGGTTGTTATAATAGCAATAACTCCTGCGATTATGAAAGAATTCTAGTCCGAGACTTAAAGCATTTTTTTGAACAAGAAACATGGAGAATCCTTGCAAGAAAATCTACTAAAGCACCTATCTAGCCATTTCGAGCTACTACGGACACCAATCTTCAACTAATATTCAACATATGAGTGAAAAAGGATGATACTAAATCACCAAATCCCGGCACAGCCAAGCGCAATAAACTTCGAAACGAAGCGATGAATATTATTGTGCTATTAATCTAACAGAAGTCGGAAATAATGGCTTATTCGGCTAACTTTTCGGCGACTTCGTTTTCTTTCAGAGCCGGATACATTCAAAGACTATTGTGCGCAGTGGTTCGTCATAGCGATACGCGGTCTTTCTGGGCGCACAGAGTCGAATCCAGTGGAACATCGCTCGAATAAAAAACCTCACTTGGAGTCTCCTCTTTTACATAGCACGGATGCTGATCTACTGTCACCATCCATTATGAACAGTTTTTTTGGGGTATGGCAACCTACAGCAGTTGATGTGTCGTTAGGTGGTACAAAGCGTGACAGTGGCTTAAAAACCGATTTTCATCGAACCTCGACACTAATAATCGACATCTTCTTAGATCATTAAGTCAACACGGTAGAAAATTAAGATAAAATAAATGTTGAAGGTAAGTGACACATGATATGTGAAAAGAAGTCATCTAAACTTCTAAATTGCTTTACACTGCGTTTATGCAAAACTAGGCAGCCACTTAAAAATCCCATTCTCGAAATTATTCTGGCTGTCTTCAGGATGCTGCTCAATCTGTGATTTTGCTAGCTCTGTAATCGCTGGATGTATTCCGATGGTGGTGTGTGTATGTGTGTGATTAGCGACATTTGCCAGATACTAATGCGATTGCTCACGCCGTCCAAATGCCGAACTGATATGGTAGTCGGTGAGAGCGCCGGAGTGAATGGAATGAGCTCGGAAATCCGCCTCCAGATAGCCTGGACAAATTGCTACAGCAGGAACGATCACAGGAACATCGACGACCTCATTGAGGTTATTGAGCTAAAGTTATCCATGTGTGGTAAAGGAATTGAACTGGAGATAAAACTATATTCATAAAATTCTGCTAAAATAACTCTGCCAATTCTGCCAACAAGAGAAAATCGAAGGTAGCAATGAGAGTGTCAAAGATTATATCATATCAACTACTGCGTAATGAGGATTTTACAACATGGGAACAAAAATGTTGCTAGCAGAGAGCTATGCATTATTTTATCTATTCCTTCTCTTTTTTTCTCTGATAGAAATCGTAGAAATAAATTCACAAAGATAAGAAGCGTTTTCCTCGAACCACAACACGACCGAAGGAGAGATAGAGAGATCCCAATGCGGCACGAGGTGATTTCATGTCTACCAAGCGATTGCACTTGTCCCCAGAAGAATTGTCCCCAGAATAGTGGGAGTCACATGTCAAGTGCCTCGTCAAAGCGACAATTAGTGTAATGATCACATGAAACATAAGGCAAGTGGAACACTTGAAATTAGTCAAAATCCGACGCTCTAATTGTTTGAGGACTCTGGGATTGTTTTCCTGGGCCATAGTACTCAGGATTTTCTTCCACGATGAGTCTTAATCGGAATGAGTAGCAGAACTAAAGATGAAAATGTGATTCAATATGCTATTCTGTTTCTGCTCACATTCAGTGAATGCTGCGGTACACTGCCTCGGTTGGAATGACAAAAACGGTGAAAAGATCTAGCCCAGTTATCAACACACTAAAGAAAGAGGGATTGTGCTAGGACTCTATATTGTTGGCAATGAAGCGTCTTCAAAATACTCAGCAATGACCTACAGGTGCAGTCGTATATTTCTGTGGCATAGAGGATTTCAACAAGAACTAATTTTTCTGGTTTTTCCGGATAGCGTCTTTTGACAACAGCTTTACCAAAACTGTTTTCGAAAACACAGAACCATGGGTGGTGTTCCATAAGCTAAAGTTAATTGTTTGCTATAAAAGCTGCCTTCAAGGAAAATAGACGAATTACTATATTCCAAGTTTCCCTACTAATATAGACGCTGTAACATAAAACATTACTCAGTAGTCGAGCTTAAGTACTACTCGCTGTTTTACTGATCGAGTAATTGCTGTTTCTAGATTTCTGGAATAGCAATGAAACGGGTAACATACAAGTTCATCACCTCTACATCGACAGTCACGTTATCTTAGAAGTTCGTTTCGCTAGATTGACGGATATTTCTGCCATCGACTTATGTCTATCTCATAAATCCTCTTTTTTCGAGATGATATGAGCGTGTAGGATGTTCGGCAAATTTGAAAAGATAAAGTCTTTACTTCTGTATTTCGACTTATGTCTAGTTGACGTTCTTCAGAAAGGCGTTAAAGCTCTTCTCACTGCGGTGAATACTTTTAGTGACGAACATCTTTGTATACATAACAGATTGGTAGCTAAGAAAGCGCGTTATTGTCGTAATGTAAAGAAGCCGTGATCAAGAAAAGATGTTTCATTATCCCAACCAAACATAAGTGTCATGCGCTTTTCAACGATACCGTCACCCACAGCCAATAGGCGAGATCGGGCCGGGCTCAACTTTCCGATTTCACCCCAGACCCCGCCTCTATGCCCGCCCCTCGTTTTCGTTGGTGATCTGATGGCTTATCCGATTTGCCGTGGACGGTAATCCCGTTTCTACACCACCAACTCATTTACCGTCCTTACCAAATACGTTTTGTTGCAGTAAGTTTATAAGTTTTCACGCTCACAGTGCTTGCCTTCAAATTGTAATGATTTCGATAGTATGAGCTGCGGTGACGGAAAACGCTTTGATTTTTTGTCGCTTTCTAGGAAAACTATGAACATCATAAAAGATTTTGATGAAATTCCGCTTTTGACTGTGAATGACACTATGCAAGCGTTTCTAATTGCTCCACAAAAAAACTAGTAATAACTTCAGAGCTTCATAGTTACGCAATGCGTAGGTATTACTTGACCATCACAAATAAATAAGCCTTTATGTGTGTTATGTGTGAGCATGCGCTCACTTCCTTCCAATAGTTTATCGCCTCATCGTGGCTGGGAGGTGTTCCCGGGTGTCGGGCTGCGATGTACAGCGGGGAATTGATCATTTCGGCAGGGTCTCCCAAGTTGAGAAGGGTTCTGGCGTTTCCATCGGAAAACCCAGCTATAAGTAAACCAATACCAGAATCCACCGTTGCCCTGGTGTCGAAGTCGCATAGTAGCAAATCTACCTTTGATCCACAAGAGCTGTGACTGCCTGTGGTGGTGACGACTTGGGATAGACCTTGCCCAGGTCGACCTCGGGACTCCAGAGGACCATAATGGCTAAGCCAGTAAAACTCCGATAAATGGGGAATATGCCGAGGCCAGCACAACTAGTGAAGACGGGACATCCAGGTACCAAGTATCAAGTATGTGTTTACTTGGAAGAACAAAGGTGCGTTGTGAGGTGTAATTTCTGCCTAGGAAAATGCTCACGGATCCTGATATTTTTTATTGGTTAAAAAACTACCACTGATTTGTTTCAAAGCCGTATAATTCTAATGCTAATATTGCCTGAAATGTTTGACCGCCAGAGGCCCCGTGATTTTCGAAATTGCAGGTCTACTAATGGATTACGGTGGCTACTTCACTCAGCATGCGTCTGCAATTGACGGCTCAGTGACGAATCCTTTTCAACTGAACTCCAATTTTAACCTGAACAATAGCACTGGATACGCGAACGGTGCTCAGAGCCAAATCTACAGCCAGTACACCAATCCTTACTTAACTGGCAATCGGTTGGTTGACATTCAATTTCATTAATTTCGAAGATATGAGCTAGTGCGTGGTTTGGTGTCAATGTACGTGTGGCAAAAAAGTGTTTCACATGTAATGGTTTTAATGTATATCACATACGGTGAAAAATTAGGTGCTGGTGCAGCACTATACCACATGTTAAGCGAAATCGCAAATGTGTTAATCACAAAAAACGCCTTGAGCGCTTTTTTATATTAAATGGAATGAAAAATGAAATCATTACGATTATTTCTACTGAGCTAATAACATTGAACTAGACGTTCTTCAGAATGGGGCATTTAGCTTTTGATACATTGAAGAGTTGCATACTGTGGTTTTCCGGTTACTCTAATAGTTCAGTTTCTTAAAATTTTGGGTACTTTCGAACAGGCCGAATATTTCCTGATTAGAGTAATGGAGTGCATGCGATGGTCTGGATAGTTTGTTTAAAATTTTTCAGTCCATTCACAGTTGTAACTCAAAAAACAGGAGAGGAACAATATAAAGTGATAGGAATTTATTCTTCTTCTAAACGCTTCTTTGAGAAGAGGCCATAACACAGTTTGGCACCTGTGATTACGTTAATGTGTTCGTTGGAACAAAAATTAACATTTTATGAGCAAACCCTCTAAACGCCCTTTCTTGGCCCTGATTTGTGAAATTGTTTTGGTAGAGAACTACAACTATAACACGTGCTAAGTTAGCCTTCATTTCTGCAATGCTGGACGTATTGAAACGTAGATCGAGCGATGAAATGATAAATATGATAAAGCTTCTGGTGTTGATCAATCTTTGAGCGATGTGCAATGCATTTGACATCAACCAACGTCGTTTGAGGTGACTGAAAGCATATCTGGTCTATGCCATGAAATTCGAGGATGTACCGATGCATCAAGTCAGTGCTGTTATACTTCTAAAGAAGTCTAGTGTCAATTTCCTGACTAAAGTAATGGAGTGCTTGGCTTGCACAAGGTACCCAGTGTGGTCAAACCAACGTCTAGCAGTGGGCCTTTAACCAGCGATTAAGCGGCATACGAATTTGAGGTTGCCGTAGCTTAGCTCTTGAAGAGCTTAGTCTTTATAATGTCAGGAAGGCGTAATATTTTGCGATATTTTTAACTACCAATGAATTTTGCGTAGTAACGGTTTTATCTCTAACAATGAATAAAAGCATGTAAAATCAAGGTGAAATCAATTTCTGTTTCCAGATCTCTACAACCAACGTCGGCCACACAGCAGGGCGCCTATCGTCAATCCACCCATGACTCGCTGCAGGCATTTTTCAACACAGGTCGGAAGGCCTATTGTTAGAATAACTCACACTCATTCACTTACTCTTCTCATTCACTTATTCACAACTCATTCACGGACCTCTTCAAAAATTTGAAACTTTTCCGCTGAAAATAATCTCAATGGACAAATCGACATATGTAATTTAGTACTAGGCACACACGTGTAATGCAATGGTAAGAGGTGGCCTACAATACACAGTAATTCGGTCTCTGGTTCGTCCACGTACTGTAGGGCGAAAAAACAAGGCCTCTATGGGAGGTAGAAACACTGATTTTGGACATCAATAGGCTACCATGAGTCGTCATAGTCAATAGGGCAGATATATGTCTATTCACTTCTTTGAAGCTGGATGAATGTATTGATAAACACCGAACACCTATCCTTGCGCCTTCCCCTACGTAGAGTAGCTTATAGGAGACTTACATCCACTAGCACTGTTGGCTGTTGGTCGTTTAGAAAGCAGATTTAAATATTTTTCCCACAGAAAAACGGCTTCGATGTTTGCTATGGTTTAGTTCACAGAGTGTGCTTCAGAACAGCTTTAATGAAACAATTCGTTCAGGCCTCCAATATCAACTCTACCACAAGTCTTCGCTCATGGGAGCGGCCGAAGGAAGGGGAGCAGCTAATGGAATTATGGCAAGCATACCTGGATCTTCACTTGTTGGTTAGTTCAGAAGAGAAAACTCTAACGTATGCCATCTGATTATGGCAGCTCTACATAGGTGCGTTGTGCGGTAATCCGACGGAACGTCGTAAACAGCGTCGGATTCGTACAACATTCACATCAGGCCAACTGAAAGAATTGGAGCGCAGTTTTCTTGAGAGTCACTACCCAGATATTTATACACGCGAGGACATCGCTATGCGGATTGACCTCACAGAAGCGAGGGTTCAGGTTAGTGGAAGTCGTATACGCGTCTAATCTATTTCGACTTTATACTAACCTCGAAAATATTCCATAATTCAGAGCTAGCAGATACAGGGTTGTCAATAGCAGGATTTATTTAATACTGGTTGGCCTTCGCTGGCTTCGTATTCTTTGTACCCTAGGGAGGTCAAATTAAAACGCAATATACTCTGCCAAACAATTTCGTAATCCAAACATAACCTCATTATATAAATTATATTCGCAAAATGAACATCTTACAAACACCCACTGGTTTGTTCTTTACAAGCCTTCCAAATATTGTTGGTGACCAGTCGCACTGCGTTTTAAATGGGCTTGGTTCAGGTCAAAAAAGCCTGAGGTATGACACCAGGTCATGCGTTATCACAAGACACTCCTCTTTGCGGGATATTTTTGGATTTTCGGAATCATTCCGATCTCTTTGAGAGCATTCCGTGCTGTTGTTTCAGGCAACTTTCCGAGTGTAGTGACTTTTACTTGAAAATCTCTCCCCTAATGTCTTCATGTGTGTGAGTGTTTTTTTAGCTATGATTTTCACAATTAGGTGTTCCTTTATACGTATACCGATGCAGAGTGATCTACCCGTTTCGCCAGCCCAACAGTTCCAAAACACTTTAAAAGAGATCTGTTACACTGTACCTATCTCATACAGTCGCCGTCACTACCGTTAGGGCAACCTATTTGGTTTTTTCTTGCACTCAAACAGCCGAACAAGCAATTACGAACGAGCTAACGAATTAGAGTACTAAGTGGTATTTCATTCGCTGTTACGGAATTCTCTAGATCGGTCCTTTTTAGGCATCGCTTTATAAGTGCCTTTAGTTGGTTGGAGATAACGAACGAATTTAACGGGACCTTTTTTTCGCTAGACTTGTTGGCTGGGGCTTTCGTTTTTCCTCTAAACCTATCTTGAGCACAGGTTGATTTGAACGTTCAAAAACAGATGCGTGTCTTTCTTCGGTTTCCTTCGTTTCCTTTATTTTGCACATGGGGCGACTAATGTAGAAGGAGGAGTGTTGGGACAAGTTCTTTCAGGTGAGATATTTGTATTTATGGAAAATTTGTTCAAGCGAACACTTTGAAGGCCTTCGTAAGTTGAAACCCAAATCAACTACATTTTCCTTTCTCTTCACCTATTGAAATCGCCGTTCATCACTATGTTTGTTTCAAAATAAAATTACGTCCGCGGCTATTATTATTCCATGTTATGAAAAACCTTACCAATCCCGAGGACGACTGCTTTCTATGTGCTGCAACCACGGTCAACAATCTCTTACGCAGTTGAAAAGTTAAGTCGTTGTCTGACATTTTTAAGAGAAGTAACGTAGTTTACGCTGGCACTCTTCCCTCACATAACTATTCTTCATTTAGTTTTCTGTAATTATCGAGTGATCTGTGTATGGAAAGCGGGTTTACCGCAACCGGAGAATCAAGGAAAAACTTAATCTAAGTTTCGATGGGACGGCGTCACAGTCTCGCACTCCACAAGGGAATGCCGCCGTGTGGATAAAGTAGCTGTATTTTGTGGTAAAGATGCGACAGTGACCAAATAAAGTTCCTGTTTCCAAAAAAGCTCCTTCTTTGATGTGGAATGGTGGAATGATATTTATTTGCATATTTCAGAACATTTCTCTATAGACGACGGAGATAAGATTCTGATATTCGCCTCTCTTATCTTGACAATGGTTTCGATAACATCCATGTATTGAAAACACTGCTGGAACCTCACTTATTTAAGTAGTTCAGATCTAGAGTCTTTGATGTGTCATTCGATCAACAGAGCTCATGGAACAGACGAGATAAAAGTTTTGGTGGTAGTTCCATTCTTATCTTCTCTCAAGTAGAGTTTAACAAGCACGAATGGCTATAATCGATAAAAATCTCTTATATGAGCCGATATGATAGGTAACAGTCCGATTCCGCACCGTCATACGTTGGTCTTTTTATTTCCATTATTCTGTGAAGCGACTTCCCAAGAGTGGTTGTGGTCTAAAAGCTTCTAAGAAATTTTTACAATCTTGTTAGAAGCGAAATCAGACGTTCCAAGTTAAAATCATGATATGCTCTTCGTTTAATCTGTTGAGTGTCATTCTGATTCGGGTCCACTAATAACCTCTTATGCATCATACTCATAGATATTGTCTTAGCTTCACGTTACAGATGGAGAGTACTCGAAGTATATGACATTGCAATGTTTACTTTTTATTTGCTGCCTACTATAATTTCTCACGGCAGGGTGTTATGCGAAGTACAACTACAACGATACTGAGATATTCGCAAAACTCTGGACCGCAGGTGTCTACGATGGAGAACGAACGCGCTACTACTCTTTCCGGGTGGTAACGCGTTCACCCGATGACACTGATCAATAGAAAATTAGCTGAGAGACAGGCGAAACAAAGGATCCACACGGTGTAGTGCTGAGCGCGTTAGCCTCGGGAAAGGGCAGTAGCGCGTTCGTTCTCCACCGCAGACTCCTCTGGGCCGGAGTTTTGCAAATATCCCAACATCGCTGTGGTTGTATTTCGGATAACACCCTGCCGTGAAAAATTGTAGTAGGCGCAAATAAAAAGTAAACATTGTGATTTCAACTACACCATCAACTGGGTTCAATGCTGATATGGGTTCCCCAGATCAATCCCGTTGACGGGTGATTTCTGATGGCACTGTTCGATGGAACTAGGTGAGAGACAGGCGAAACGAAGAACCCACACGGTGTGGTGGTGAACGCGTTAGCCCCCGGAAAGAGTAATAACGCGTTCGGTACCCATCACAGTCACCTGTGGTCCGGAGTTTTGCAAATATCTCAGCATCGTCGTGGCTATATGACGCAGCTTCTTGTTTTTTGCACAGTTTCCTTCCTAATGCTTCGAGATAGTCATTGTACACAAATCGGCAGCAGTACAGTCGCCACCCTTTGGTGCGACGTTTCACAATCTTGTAATTAGACTTGATCCAGAGTACCGCGAACGTTGGCAATCCTCCAGAGCTATTATTTGAGATCCACACGGAATTGTCATAACTGCTGAGAGGCTGTGTGACAATTTTGTGCGCACCAAAAAGAATAAAGCTATTCCCTTTACAGCTTCTTTTCAGCTGACATGCCTTCCTGATCGCAAGCTAAAAATTTTTCTCGGTGCTTTTGTTTTGTTCGCATCTGGCGGAGTACGTCGTTTAGTTCTAAGCTTGCCGTCTTAGACCACTTTTACGCAAAGGAGGAGTGCTCTCGTTTTGCCTGTATATTTACCACCATGCACCTTACAAAGGTCGCATATACTCATACCATTACCGTTTCTACGGTTTTTGAAAACTCTGTAATGTTTGTAATACTAACGTAAATTTTCTTCTAATTTGTTATGCTAACTCTCGTATAAGAGGCTGGTTCCGTTAACTAGGTGGAAAGAAAGAATCGCTTAATTAGGTGAAGCGATTCTTTCTTTCCATCTCAATGCATAAACTTCTAGCTGCTTCTTTGAAAAATGTTTCTTACAGTCGCCCTTGTTGCATGTGAACAATAAGAAAAGACCTAAAAGATTTATGTCCTCTTCCTATTTGGTCTTCACTAACGCTTTGTGGCACAGCGGTTTTTGTTCAAGGTTAATTTAAAAGTTGAAAAATAAATGGCAATTTTCCTCTGGATTTTCTAGGGTGTACTTTATTTATTCCCAGGCTCCAGTCAAAAATTCGGTATTGAAAAACTTTTCTTCTTTCGCTTTAACCGATGAGTAAGCAATCATCAGTAGGTATCGGCATCTAGGATGACTCACTCGTCCTTACACAAATGAAGGTTTCAATATCGTTAATAAATTTGATTGTTTACTGTCGATTCTACACCACGATTCCTGTATGGATTCGAAAAGAACCATACGATTCGTAAACAACTAATTTATAGGTGTGGTTCCAAAATCGACGTGCCAAATATAGGAAGCAAGAAAAACAACGACGAGCCAAAGAAGAAGGCGAGAACTCGGCGAAGAAGTCGGAAACCGATGGCAAAATTCCTACTAGCGATCTCTCCGATGTAGCAGACCATTAGTTCGCGTCTCAAAAGCTGCCGATCTTCCATGTTCTCAACTTTTCCCTAGTCTGTACGATACTGAGTGTTCGCAAGCTACGAGATGCCACTGCAATTAACTGCAAGCAATTTTTGTTGCCGAATAATGTTAATTACCTATCGTCCAGTAAAACTCATTTTTTGTAATAAAACACCTTCTTGCGTAAGTTTTTCATAAGTTTTACTCACAACTGAAGACCAAAAATAAACTAAGGACTACAAGGACTACTAATTTACATGAAGGCCGAGGTGATGATGTGGTGATAGAGTTCCAGTCGTAGGAGTTCTATTCTAAACCCCAATAAATCAGTTCTCTTTTACATTTCTAAACACCTATAGGCTTAAATTCAAACTCAAGTTCTACTTGAGAAGCTTAAATAAGTAAACAGTTTTACGGCAGATACATAATTCAGCCTAGATACCAGTGAGTATTCAACCTAGGTACGCTCACACATCTGGAAACTTTCACAAATGCTAATATTCAAACGACGAGCACAGTTAAATACTTTGGCATGAATGCATAAATGTCGTTTTGAACCACCAAAATGAGCAAAATTGTGAATATACCGACATTTCATGGGCTTTCATGGTCTTGTTTGCGACGCTTGGCCGGCAAGCTTTCGCCCTCATTGCCTTCGGATGACATCAGGGAAATTGTTACCGGTTCTTCCTTGAAGCCGAACTAAAAACAACATGAAGCTCAGCATCTAGCAAGAATTAGATGGATTGAAAGTGCTTAGTGTATGACTACGACTTATGGCCGTTTATGAGAATATCTACAACGCTTCAAATTTTACTGATGATTTGATACGGAGCTCTGAAATGGAATGCTTTGTTCACAATTTTGCATACAAAACTAATATAAACGCAACAAAGGAAAATTAAGCAAACTTGAACAGACTTACTTTCTTTCCAATCTTTTCGGCTAGCGCTTTCGTCTCCTTCAGATTCCTTTCAACAGTGGCAATCCTCTGATTGGCTTGATGAGTGTTCTCTACAACAATAGACGTCGCCAGCACATGAGCCGCTTGACATTTCGCAGTCTCAAAGAAATTTCGTTGGATTTCTCACAAGAATTCTTCCAGTCTTTTACGACCATAGCCTTAGTCTTTCTATCGCCATCCTGCTTCCATACTCTTTTTAATCTGGATTTTTATTTTTTTTCGAAAATTCCGAAGATTTGAAGCAATGTGGAGGATAACTCCTTCCTTCAGAATTCTATATCAGTACTGGTAAGCGAATTTCTATAATCCTTGATCAGATGAAAATCTAAACCTTAGAGGGAAACATATGTAAAGAACAAGACATTTGCTGAAGCATAAACCTCTATGCAAGTATTACAAGCGGAAAGATATTATGTATTATATTTTCAACGTTTATTTTCTATTTTCTGCCTACTACAATTTTATGGCAGGGCATTAAGCGAAATACAACCACAATATTGCTGAGATATTTGCAAAACTGGGTTCAATGCCGATGTGGGCTCCCAGATCAATCTCGTTGACGGGCGATTGCTGACGGTACTGATCGACAGAACTAGTTGAGAGAGAGGCGAAACGAAGGACCCGCTTGGTGTGGTGGTGACCGCGTTAGTCCCAGGAAAGGGTAATAGTGGTTGTATTATATTTTCATTAGCAATAGTGTCAACATCAGAACTTGTTGGGGGAAAAAAAGCAAGATTCTCTTACGTACCTCTATAAGTTCCATTGTATCGTCATCTACGGTATCCGAAAATTGGAGTGCCAAATAAGACCAGCTACAAAGAATGTCAAGCCTATCCAGTTCAAAAGGCTTCCACAACTGCACAGCCGCAGACCAAAGGTAGCTAAGAACGAAATCGGACTAATAAGAACGCAGATATCGCGCTCATAGCATAAGAACCGAATAGGAAAACTTACTCGAAGCTTCGCTTTACTCTCCGCCAAGCATCTGCGCGTAACTGGGAATGGTTTGCACGACGTGGCATGCGTTCCTGTACTCGTGAAATCTAAACATCTTAGTATAGAAATATTAGCATTGTTCACTATATTCCAAAAAATCAAACATGACATAATTCAACAGGAAATCCAAATTCAAGAACTGATGAAAAATTGCACAATTCCATAATTTTATTCGCTTCGTGATTTTTGGACTCGCCTTATTAATAGTTTCCGACCATTTAGTCCACTAGATCACAGAAATCGCTCTAATTACAACAATGCCCACCGTCTTGAAACAAGCCTAGTAGCAAAACAAGAAAGATTCCTTTGGTACAGAAGGTATAGGAACTGCCTGTGGATCTGAATAGGCTCTAGTGAATACTGCAGAATTCCAGCGAAGACAACCTTCGACCAACATTCAATGTGTCAATTGGAACACAACAGATCTAGTGACACCCCATTCCTATACACAAGCATAATCACTGTAATAAAAATGACTAAAAGCTTATGAAACGGATAGAAGTGCTGAAGCCCACACGACATACGGAGGTAGACAGCTTGGCTTCTATGTGAGTCGGTAAACGATCCATGAACATCTACAAAAGTTCCAATACCGCATTCGATGCATTATCAAAATTTTTAATGCTATTGCTAAGATAAGTGGATTCATGGAACAGATTCATCATCTCTGCTTCGCCGAATTGGCTTCTACCTTCCCTGACAACATTCATGCATAGGTTGATGGTTGTGTTTGCGCGTACAGAAATTGAATTGTGCATGTCGACTGCTGTGCAGTATGCTGATTGGACGCTCCATAGGAGGCGGTTTGTAGTCTCTTCCATGAACTAGGCGCTCATTATACAACCAGAGCGACTTCCCGTAAGTGTCATTTAGCTGGAACAACAAAAATAGACAAACCCGCTAGGGTTCTATTGCTTCAGATTCGGTTATAGATGTTTTTGCCAACTGTAAGTATACAAAGTTACTTCGTGTGCTGTGATGCAGCTTCTCAACAGGAATATCTTTTGCAAAGACATCACCACTGATGTGAAGAAAAAAGTTTGATTAAGTAATTCCTTCTCACCTTAATTATTCGTCTTAAAGCTCGAAAACCCCAATAACTGGCAGCCTTACCACTTTTATCTTGCTAGTGAATTATTTCCGTAACGTTAAGTACCAGCTAGGTGCAACGCAGATTCTGGCCAATTTCAACAGTACATCCTTGATTTCACCTAAATACTCACTAAGGTCGGATTTTTTTTTATAACGCCTTATCTATGTTCACCGGGACGAGTATTCTCGAAGGCTCGATCGACGAAAGTGTTTCTTTATTTCCCATAACTGCTTCAGGTGTGAGCCAACACACGCTTCTGGAGTGGGCAATTTGAAGCACCAAACATCGTTGTTAACAAACAAACTACCTATATCTACCACGAAAACATTACCAACTACTTCGTACAGTCCTATTTCTTAAATCAAGCACGGTTAGTTAACTGGTGTAGGAATTTTCTTCTGAAGCATTAGCAAAGTTTAAGAAAACGCCATGGTATAAAATAACTTCAGCATTGCTATAGGCTGAGTACAGCAGACTTGGGAACGAATGAAAATGAGAAAATATAACACAAAAAGAAAAAACCAGCTCCGCGACCGATATTTCGAATTCCATCGATCTTTTTGCTCCAACAGTAGTTGTCTCGGAAACGTCGACACAACGTAAGCATTATGTAGCAGCGACCGCTGCTGTAAAACGTGGTGTGGCGAAGACGATGCTAGAACTGTTTCATATCACAGAAACAAGACAGGATTTCCGGCTCGTATCGAGGATAGAAGATTAGAGACGCTGCAATATAAGTCAAGAAGCATGATAGAAATATAGTTGGTCCACAGAGTGGCAGATTTTAACAGCAAACGTTGGATAGAACTCCGCAGTGAATGTATTCCACGAGATGTCCAGCACACAGTATTAAGGATATTTTTGCTCAGATTTCATTATGAAGACCTTCGGTGCAGTTACGAGATCCCGAAGCGAGAGAACTCACTTTACAACGGCGAAACAGGAGGGAATGAAGACTTCGCGTTTGCCAACTTTAGTAACTTGATGAATATCGGAAGACACGGTACGATACAAAGGCCAGTTGGAAGCTTACTATTGGTTCAAAAAGTGCGAAAATCATACTTAATGGTTACCAGAAACAGCTCTTTCTACGATATTACAACCAATTTTGATTCGTAAATATTTTTCTATCTTGATATCTCACGTACAAATACATTCGAAAGGCCTATTTTCACTGGTCTTCAACGAATCATCATTGTTCCCCCAACGTTTATGATGGACTTTAGTCTCACTTCCCCTTGATCAGCTGCAAATACAGATATGGAAAAATATAGGTGCTCGACATAGCCGGTATATGTGCCCACCTTCTTCTTGTTTTACAAACCACGGAGTGTTCAACAAACCGTTTTTCTCGTCCGTCTTCCGCCTTCTTTTCTTAAATTTTGAGGTCCGCATAGGTTTTGGATGTACAGCCATTAGATTACATGGGAGATATACACTGACAGTTTAAATAAAGTGGCACGGCTTACTACAACATATCTTAGTTTGTTTCCAATAACATATCTGGAGTGCTCTGGTGAATAGAGTTCCCGACATGGTCGAAGTGTTAGTCCATATCTCTGCTCCGTTAGGAACGGATAGATAGCTTGGTTGACAATGGGCATAGAAATTAATGTTCAAGTGCTCGGCATTTTTTCAAGATGACCAAAGACCAATTACGGTACTTTGAAAAAAGTACTCAGTTCTTTGAAAAAAGATGGTTAAAACAAGGAGTGACCGGAAACATAAGTAGGTGCACAATACTTTGGATGCGATATGCATATGGCTTGTTCTGCCAGAGTTTGACTTGCACAAGAGCATTCAAAGGTTACGATATGTGGACGGTGAAGAACTTGGACGAAAGTTTTAGAATGACATCAACTAAAGGATACGTTTACTTAAAGTTTCAGCTCTTTTTTACTTCAACACATCTCACCTTTCTCTATAGGGACTGTAATATTGTACTACCTTTGTCACAACATGCGTGTCTTAGGCCAAGATTACTGTTTACCCGATTTCCCTCAGTATTCTACTGATTGACATATGTTTTTTACAACTTACAAATCTCACGAAAAAATCGTATTTTGCTAACTAGGATAAAATCGATTCTGCTATTTCAGATGACCTCTAATAATAAGGATCGCAAAAAATTTGCTTTGCAGTAAAAGCTCCTCCGTACAGAAACTATGTGTACCGGCAGACAATGTAATGATAGAGAACGGCCCTGACCCTCAGCTGACAACAAATTTCCAATGTCTCCTTGAAGAATAAAAAGATAAAGCTCTCGGGATAGATCAATCTCTTAGGGATGCGCCATGCAATCGGCTTCATTAAGCATCGTTGGAGGTGATTGAACGCATATCTGGCCTTTACAATGACTCACGGTGGCCTACCGATGTATCGAGCCAGTGCCGCTATCCTCCCAGACAAGTCTGGTATCAATTTGCCGACCCCGGAGGGATGGAAGGCTTGGTGGCCCATGGGTGCGGGGATCGATTCCACGTGTGTGTCGCAGTGGCGCCTCCAACCACTGCGTCATACGTGCCCTTAATGCCTTCATAGCTGGCAAAATAGTAACTACTCTGCTGAGGAAAAGACAATTATTCGTCAATAAACTGCCACGCAAGTCACAACATAGACGAAGCCTGACGTCGCAGTGTCATTGAAGTTGAAAAATACGAGCATTAACAAACCTATGTCTGTCAACACCAATAACTGTATTTTTAATTTTCAATTACACAACGCGGAACGTTATAACGTCTATTAGAGAGACCCTATCTAGCACTAATGACGACCTAGAATCATTCTGACACTGGACAGACTGTGAAGCGTACCATATGATATGCGTAGTAGATGCTCAGTTGGGAACTGGACACGACGCGGGCGTCCTTAAGCCGGGGTTGGCGCTCCAACGCGTCAATCCACTCCCAGCACACCTAAAGCTGGTTAGAAAGTAATTATCAAGTAGTTGAAAGTATTTATTGAGCATCCAATAAATCACCCTGGCTTTCTGACAGTGCGGTTTAACTCTTCACAAGAATGACCATTAACGCATGTCAAGCATACCCGGCTTTAACTACTTCGTTAAATAGATAAACCTTAGTGCTATTTCCAAATATCAAACATAATTCAGAAGTGTTAAATTTTTCATGCACTCTGGTAAAGAAAACTGCTAAGTATTATGCAAAAAAAACGAAAAAAAATCAGATTAGCAAGGTCTTCAGGATTTTCTATTTTTTAATTCTTCAGTGTGGAACCGACCTCAATGACGCTTTCATCATAGTGCGACGTGTTGAGAATGCAAGCGTAGACGTGGTCCATCAGTTCCAAGTCTTCGGCTCCGAACGCATAGTCCGTTGCCACAGCGCAGCGCACCACTGACACAGCTCTATAATGGCTCGCACTTTTATCAGATCAAAACTCGTTGTCTTAACGCAGTGATGAGATCTTCCACTAGTGTGAGGCGGATTCCACATAGGTATACATTCGTCAAGGGTATCAGGTATCACAGTGGTAGTGATTATGTTCATTATGAAGATGGCCCCACGTACCCGGGTGCTGGCGGGCCCAACAAGCTTCTCATCTCTCCGAAGTAGCGAACCTGCTGCGAGACTTGTCTGGAAGCCTCGAAAAGCTGTCTCATGAACATCATTTCAAGAAACTCACTCACTGTCCTCTGTCCACGTGGTAATGTCCCAGCACGGCAATCTCAAGATTTCAGACAAAATCTACTTAACCAGAATTCAACGACCTTAATGACAAAAGCAAAACCCTCAAAACCCACACGAAGACACGCGCAAGAGGTTTGAAAAAACTTCGTGGATTATGGATGCCAGGAAGAGAATCGAATGCAAGAAGCGTTAGGATCCATGCAGTGCGAAACACATGATTTTCGATCACGCAAAAAACGCATCAGCTGTCGCTTCTTTAAAGTCCTTTTTCATCCTAAAATTAGGCGAAAACACTGCTGGTGTTGACCCAAAGTCGCTAACACGATTGAAGATATGACATAGAACCGACTATACTATGTTATCTTAACTTAATAACCGCACGTCGATCCATTGTGCATATAGTTCCAACCTTCCAAATTTTTCAATAAATATTCCTAAATTATTGCTTTCTTAATGTAGTTATCGGAAACTTCTCCTCGCCTATACTTTCTTACGATAGTTGTTACAAGGACAGGTTGAAAGACCACTCAGAGGTACCGAGCGCGCCGTCAACAGTCCTAGTATACCGCATTACGCAGGTGAAAGAGGAAATAAGAAATTCCGACTACGTCAACGGTCAAAGACCAAAGACGTTGTTATGCATTCCAAAATGTCAAAAAATCTGATGGGCCGAACAGATAATGCGTCTAAACGACAACCGATAGACAAGAGCTGCTAGCGACTACGTTCTTCGCTATACCAAATGCTTCGCAAACAACCTATAAGAAAGACATAATATCTAGCGAATTCATAGAGCGAGAGGAACCCACTGTTCGACTCATTCAGTGATCAACGGAAGGATAGGCATGGTGATGCTTAAATTGTAATTAGCATGTAATCCAAATGAACAGAAATTTCAGCAAAACTTTCTGCAAGCTTTTCAAAATCCGACATGCTCATTGGTATTCGAAGTCAATTCACAACATGGTAACCGTCCTCCTCCACAAGTAAATGGAAGCTCTGGAACTTCTTGGATATTGGTTATGAAGAAATCGTGTAAGAAGCAGAACAAGAACTCGGACTTATTTCAGTACGAGGGTGTTTTCACTACATGGTTCTTGACAGCACGGAAAATGGCAAAAAGTGTGTTATTTAAAAAGTCCACCTGGTGTGCAAAAAATTCCATCGGAGTGCACCGAGTGTATGCTGAATCACAGAGAGAAGCAACCTTGTCGCATACTTACGTAACTGAAGTTTTCTTTCATATCAGCCGCTAGATAGACGCGACTGCTGTTGCTATTGAAAGATTCTTCAGAGCATCACATTCTTCCCGTACATTTCAAGCCTTGGCAAGGAATCTGTTGCCTTCCAAGGACTGGCCAGCAATTTCCATCCGTGTGATTCACATGAACATCATCTAGTAAACATCACTCCTTTCTTCCTTGGTTAGTACTTCGCACAAAAAACCTTTCCGTGGAGAGTCAGAAAAATAGAAGTGTATGTATTTCTTTCAATATGGGGGGGGGGGGGGGGGGNTTCTGATAGTCTACGGGTTAGGGTTCAGTCTGCACAAAGGTGAAACAATTAGTTAGACATATGGACCAAGTACAGATAACAAGAAATAGATTAAAATTCGGTGTTGTAGAAGTTTCAAATTAACCTCCTACATAATTGAATTTTTTTGAAATGTGAAATCCACTAAATTAGCTGGATCCACATAGAACATATATTTAAATGAGTAATCGCTAGCGAATTTCAACTTCCCCATCAGCTGAATGAGGTTTGGTAAAAGTATGTTTCAGGGGAAAAACGAAAATACTCTGATTTTGAGATATAACAGTGCTATGAGTCTAACACTAAATTTTTTTGATGATGAAACATATTCTGCTGCTACTGACTTCCAACAGTCACAAGAAGTTAAGTACACGAAGCAATGTGTCTTCAACCCCATAGTTTAATTCGGATGATGAACTATTCAGTTTTTAAAGGTGCTTATTCGGCTAACGTTTCGATGGTTTCGTCCTCATCAGACTCGATGATTCGAGTCGATAGTCCACAGTTATTCAACATAGTGTAAGCTCACCATTATAAATACACGTACTACTGAAGTTAAATGACGGTTGGTTTCGAAATTTTTTAGTTTTTTTTTTTAAAATGAGCTTAATGTTTGCGCAGGATATACTTTAGCCCATATACATGCCCCTTTGAGGGATTGGTTATATCAAACTGAATGGTGGTCCATTTATAGCCGCAGTTTTGACATCTACATTCGCGGAAAAGAATTCTCAATGTTGTATCAGATACTATGAGACTATGAGATTGCCAAACTATCGAAACCAACTTGCGAGACGGACGAATACAAAATAAGCACTTTCAGTGAGTACACAAGAGATGTTCGTAGTAGGAAACCTCATGATGCGACTAGAATCTATTAGATTCAACCAAAAGACTAAAAGAGAGTTATAATTGGGCATTCAGTCATTTAGAGGCAGTGACTTATAACGAAAAGAGTTAGTCATACAAATTGTTCTCACAGATTTAAAGGCTAGAATAGCTGAACTTACTGAAAAAATACCAGATCGTGGAGTACGGAGAACATTCTCAGTAGTCATCAAATATTCCCTATCTTCAAATCATTTCTCTGTTGACTATTCTACAACGCCAGACAACGCTGCTTAGACATCTCCAAAAGGTAAAGTCCTCTATAAAAACTTTCTCAGAATTTCTCCTGTGTCGCCTTTTCTGCTGAAGACATTCGCAGCTACTGTGCTGTCTATTGGATCAGCCACATAAGACGGCACTGCCTTAGAAAAGTTCTGCCTCCTAATTCTCAAACCATCTCTTCAAGCGATCGCTTCACATTATCGCCGCATTCTGCACTTTCAACTAGCCTAGCTAAACACCGCCTATCCTAGCACGATGTAAGCTGGTCCGTCAGCTCTCGGTCAAGTTCGTTAAGTTCGTTCAACCAGTGGCTCTTTAATTCGCAATGTTCGCCTTGTATCGTTATCATTGTACCGTTATTGTTGTTATTACTACCATAAACGGCTACAATCCAGTTTCTCAACGCGTACGGCTCAGTGACTGATACGCAGAAGTTCCGCGTGGCGAATACAAAAGCAGATCAGCCAATAAGACTAATATTCACAACTACATGATACAGGTTACCCTTTCCGGGGCTCGCATATTACACTACTGCACCGCTGAGACCCATACATGGTATTCATATAATTGTGGACGTCACCATAAAACGAACGGAAAACATCTTGTTTATTCACTCCTATCATACTTCCTACTTGTGTAAATATACCTTATTATAAAATTTAAACAATTTATATATACTTCTTAAGATTCTTAACAACATTGTAAAGAGTGGCTACGGCTATATAAAAAGAAGGTTGTAACTACACAACATTTTCGAAATACCAGTTTTCTATAGCATTAGTGATTTCCGGGAAAAATCCTATGATGTTCCCCAAGTATGTAGGAGTCATCTGTTTCCACATCGCATACTAGAAGCTACATGTCGAATGATTGCGCAGCTTTAGCAAACATATTTCTTCACCACCAATGCACTAGACGTTGCATGCACCATCAGGAAGATGTTCGTGACAAAACCAAACTTGAAGTTCGGGTGCACCGCATCATTATTACTCAACAGTTTTAAATGTAGAAAATACTTGCAAGAACACTAAGTATGACGAACGAGAAAACGGCATTCGTTAGATGAAGCTGAAAAGAAAGCAGATCAAAGAAACTACTGCTACAAACGTATGAGTAATTATTTCACTAGCAAATATGGGAATAGAATGCCGACACTACGGCCATAAAATTCTAGACTGAGGCCACAATATCACTAATTCTGATCTGCGAGCCAGAAATTAAGCGCATATCTCGCAATGTCACAACGTCTCGAGCAGTGGCGCTCCAGAATACGCAAATGGCTTTTGATTCGACTCTGAACCGACTTTGCAAAGTTTCTATTGTTCCTAGGTCGGTAAATTAGTACCTGCCTTATCTGGAAAAACTCCCTCCTATGCACAAAAGACGTTGAATAAGATCTAGGAAAATTCTAGCATAGTTTCATTTCAAATGATTCAGCTCGACTAGCACCCAAAAATATCGATGAGGAACACAAAACCTTGACGTAACCGCGAAACGCATAAGCAAATCCAAGAAATTTCACACATAATGAATGCCAAACAAAATAAAACGAAAAGATTGTTAAGATTCGCACAATGTTTGAAGACGGGTCATATAAAATAAAATATCTTGCAGCCTTTCAAAAAGCGAGGTTTTGAGCCAAGTGGATAACTCCATGTATCGTCACCCACTTCAAGGAAAATGACCGACGAATCGAAGTTAGCCTCACAGAAGTCTAACGAGACATCTTTATTTTGCTGACAACATAGTCGTCTTCTCAAAATGTAACAGTAAAGCGAAGAATATAATTATAAAGCCCAAAGTGCAGCGAAAATGCGAATGGTGCAGTGGTGGTGTTGCCGATAGTCACGAGCACGGTATATGTTCGATCCCGCACCGCCTTAACCAAGCCTCTCATTCCTCCAATGTCGAGAATTTGGCATCGCATTTGTCTGGAAACGTTCAATATCTGTCATACAAGTGGGAATGCTGTAGATTAACTATCTCAGGACTTCAGCGAGAATCGACTCGACCAGCACTCAACATTCGTGACGAAAGGAAAGTCTGTAATGCTGAGATATTAGCAAAACTCCGGACCGCAGGCGTCTGCGGTGGGGAACGAACGCACTATTGTTCTTTACCGAGGAGTAACGCGTTCACCACCACACCATGCGGGTCCTTCGTTCCGTCTGTCTCTCACCTAATTCTACCGATCACTTGCCATCAGCAATCGCCCGCCAACGGGATTGATCTGGGAAGCCCAAATCGGTATTGAACCCAGTTAAGCTGAGGCTGTAGTTATAATCACAATCTTAACCACAATCACATTTTATTTACTACCTATTCTTTTTAACGGCAAGGTATGTTGGGCCCCCAGATCAATCCCGTTGACGGGTGATTGCTGATGGCAAGTGATCGGTAAAACTACGTGAGAGACAGGCGGAATGAAGGACCCGCATAGTGTGGTGGTGAACGCGTTACCCCTCGTTAAGGACAATAGCGCGTTCGTTCCCCACCGCGGACACCTGCGGTCCGGAGTTTTGCAAATATCTCAGCATTACAGAAGTTATATTTCGCAAAATACGCTGCCGTTAAAAAGAATAGGCAGTAAATAAAAAGGCTAAGAAAGTAAAGTCTTCAGGCACCAGTTGAATCCACATGGAAAACTGCAAAAACCGTCGTAGATGATGGATACGAGGAAACGAATCGAGTGGGAGAAGTGCTGGGATTCGCACAGTAGGTGTGAATGATGGATCGTGTAAAAAAAGC